TCCCAAGTAGCTGAGACTACATGCACTAGCCACAACGCCCAGCTATTTTTTTGTTGTTGATGAGTTTGGCCGGGCCAGGCTCAAACCTGCCACCCTTGGTATATGGGGCCCACACCCTACTCACTGAGCCATAGGCGCTGCCCAGAGCTTTTTCTTTTTAGTTGATAAAAAATGGATTTTTTATTACCCTTGTAAGCATGAGCTATTTCAAAGACAAACTTTATGGGTTTTGTAGACCCAGTGAACAGTACAACATTGAGTTAAGAATTTTATGGGTAGAAAAGCAAGAATACACATACCCACATATGCTAAAATCCAGTATTTTATAAAATAGTTTTCTTCTATTTTTATACACAACATATAAAATTACTTTATCTTGATTTTGAACTTAGTAGTAAATATTTAATCAGAATTATAATTGATATTTTGCATTTGAAACAAGAACTGCTTTCTTCATAATCCTGTAATGAACTGGAAAATTAAATAAGCATTTACAAACCGCAATAATGTTAGTAGGTGGAGAAGATGCGTCAAATCAATTGGAGCGGGGAGAGGACAGTGTGCCATTCACAGAGGATTCCCTTCATTGCTTATATTCTTTGTATTTACTATGAACCTCCACCTGCATTGTTCCAATTAGGTGATTAAGGTGACTAAGCAAGCCTAAAGGGAATACCCATTCATCACACCTTTGGCTCTCTTGTTCCTGTGGTATAATTTGGGAAAATGTTATGTTAATTCAAAAATATCAATGAAAGCTAAATATTTGCTGTTCTAGATTATGCTATATTAAATGGTCCTACATTGAATAGTAACTGGATCAGAGATTTCCTATCTTTGGGATAATGGCCATCCCACCTGCTACTCCCACCTTCAGAGATAGGGGAATGCTCATGTAAGAAATTCTAGACTCTTAAGGTATATTCTGAAAATCGACAGATAATAAAAATAAACCTTTCGTGGAGGAAGGGTATTTTGAGACTCAAAAGAGGTCTCTATTGAGAGAATAGAGCACATGTCAGAAACCACTGGTGACATAGATAAGCAGCGATTTGACATCTCCAAACAAATGGTGCCACTCCCCCCTTTTTTGCGTCTACTTTAAAGCTATATCAAAAAATAAGAGTAAGTTTTCTTTTCTGCTTCTTTAACCATCTGCATTTATTTATGTTTTTTTTTTTTTTTTTTTGACACAGAGTCTTACTTGGTTGCCATGTGATGCCATAGCACATCATAACTCACAGGAACTCAAACTTTTGGGCTCAAGAGATCGTCTGTCTCAGCATCCCAAGTAGATGGGGCTACATACACGTGTCTACCACAACAGCCAGATATGTTTAGAAATGGGGTCTTATTCTTGCTCAGGCTGGTTTTGAACTCCTGAGCTCAAGCAATCCACCTGCCTCAGCCTCCCAAAGTGTTTATCTATCTTTAGATCTCAAGTTGTATCAGATATAGAAATTGTGCCATACATATAAAAATTCAATTCAATGTGTCTTGATAATATTCATAGGAATCTAGATTGTCATATTTAGAAAGGACCTTAATGGGGTCCCCTTTAGAAGGGACCGATCACCATGTCTCACTAAACTGATGATTGAATCTCTTTTTAAGAATCCCTTTATGGCTCGGCACCTATAGCTCAACCGGCTAAGGCGCCAGCCACGTACACCTAAGGTGGCGGGTTTGAATCCCCAGCCCGGACCCGCCAAACAACAATGACGGCTGCAACCAAAAAATAGCCGGGTGTTGTGGTGGGCGCCTGTGGTCCCAGCTACTTGGGAGGCTGAGGCAGGAGACTCGCTTGAGCCCAGGAGTTGGAGGTTGCTGTGAGCTGTAATGCCATGGCACTCTGCCCAGGGGATAGCTTGAGGCTCTGTCTCAAAAAAAAAAAAAAAAAGAATCCCTTTATAATACATATCTAGCCTCTGTTTTAATCCCTCTAGTAATAGGGACCAAAAACGTCATTCATTTTCCATTTATATGTCTAAAGTTCTTATGATACATGTTAACTAGCTAGGATTGCTTTCTAGGCTTTAGCCATCTTACAACAGACACAGAAGAACAGTGCACTTATGTGTAGCAGATACCTGTGTGTTTGCTCATTGCTTAAGCAAAGGGTCCTTTGGGTACACAGATTTCTGGAGATTCTTGCCTACTCCATGTAGAGAGTGCCTCCAACTGTTGTGACAAGGCATTCACCACCCACTTTAAGAAGCAGAGCTTTAGGACTACCATCTTCCATAGCTTACATAGTATAGTATTTGAACCAAACCTCTTGCTAGTTACTTATGGTTATGCTAACCCTGTTTTTTAGCTAAATATTTGCATGGGGAGTTTGAAATTGTTTTCTGATATGGGATGTGTATGAAAAGTCTCATGGATTAATAACATTGTTAAAACAATTCTCTTCTCTGCAAATGATCAAAATATAACTGAATTTCTTCCCAAGAATCCAACCAGTATTATAATACCATATACAGGTCCTCACCCAGGATGAGGAATAGGGCATTGTATACCCACACAGCTCAAAAGAGCCTCATATGACCAGGTTGAGCATATAGAGCTAAATTTCAGAGTTGACTTCATCTGTTTTTCTGTAGCCTGGCTATTTCACAGTGTATCTTTGCTTTCTTTGAAATAAAAATGAGAGTGGGTTAGACTCATAATTGAACTCTTATTAGAGTCTCAAGTGGCCATAGTATGGCAAAGTTTTTACTAGAGAATTAAAAAAAAAAAACATTGAGTATGTAGGAAGAGTTTGGACTTTCAGGAATTTAGTTGGCCACAAGATAACAGATAAAGGAGAGAAATGAAGACATTCAGCAGCCTGGGGCCATCGCCCAAGCCTGAGGCATTGAGGTGTTTGCACATCTCTTAAAAATGAGCGGGCCAGGCAGGATATCAAAGGAAAAGAATTCTTTATGGCTGATAACACTGAAGGAGTTATGATTGAATCTAAGATATCCCTGATGACTGAAGATTACAGCAAAATTGAGTCTAGTTTTAAGTCTGTTGAATTTGAGGTTGATCTGATAGGACACTTTTGTCCTGGAAGTTTAGGTAAAGAAGATCTGTAGAGGTTTTATTTATAATTATTAATAGATGAGCTCCTTAGGGGATTGAGTGTAACAGAGTACAAGTATAGTTCATGTCGCTGGTATAAGAAGGAAAAAACAATTTGAAATTACTTCCTATTGAATTTTTACAATTCCCTTTACATATTTGCTTCTTAGTTTTCATTTTTCCAGATTTTTTAGTAGGTTTAACGTATAGCCATTATAAAAATTTGAAATATTACTAATATAAACCTCACTTTGTGGATTAGTTCAAATATGTTAAAATTCTGTTATGCCTGTAAAAATGTAAAATCTTTATGCTTTTCACAGACTACGTCAGCCTGCATTTTTATTTATTTTTTTGAGACAGAGCCTTACTGTGTCACCCTCGGTAGAGTGCTGTGGCATCACAGCTCACAGCAACTTCAAACTCTTTTGGGCTTAAGTGATTCTCTTGCCTTATCCTCCCAAGTAGCTGGGAGTACAGGCACCAGCCACAATGCCCAGCTATTTTTTGTTGCAGTTGTTATTTTTGTTTAGCTGGCCCCAGGCTGGGTTCGAGCCTGCCACCCTCAGTGTATGTAGCTGGCGCTGTAACCACTGTGCTACAAGTGCCAAGCCAGTCTGCATTTTTAAAACTGGTTTATTGTCATTAAAACATTTTATATACCAGTTTTGGGATATAACATAGTTTATAATAGAACATAGAATTTTGAAATTACATGACTTTCTTAGAAATGTGATAAGTATTATAGATTTTCATTTTATCTTATAAAATACTTATTTTATTTCCTTGTACAAATATCTTTAAAGTCAATGCAAGTTTTATTAAATAATAGACTAAATGTTTCATTTAATCTACCTAAGAAACCATGTGGGCCTTAAATACCATCCATTATAGATATCATTTTCTTAGTATTAGGAACTCAGTATTCCTTTTTAGGTTTGCAAAATAAATATTCCCTATTTCCTTCTGGATGCTTTTATAAAAACACCTCTGTTTCTTTACTTTGTAATTTTAAGGCTATTTTATTCCTACCCAGATAAATGGACTAAATAAACTTTACTTTTTCTATCAAACAGGGTAATTTTCACCTAAAAGGATTATTCCCCTATAGGGACTATTTAGGATAATGTAAGAATATTGTCATTATTATGTATATAAATTTACTTTGGAGAATACTGGGGTACAAACAGTTATCTTTCATAATCTATGAAACTGGGGCACCATGTAAGGTTCATATGACTGCTGATCTAGGAAACATGCCATATGTTTTGAGATCCAATGGGCAGAGATGACAATGGCTTCCAGAATTACAAAGGGAGATGCTTTGAAATGAAAATGTTGATACATAATTGGTCCACTTCTCAAAAAGTCAACCCTAAGGCAGGGCCTATGGCTCAAAGGAGTGGGGCGCTGGCCCCATGCACTGGAGGTGGCAGGTTCAAACCCAGCCCTGGCCAAAAACTGCAAAAAAAAAAGTCAACCCTAGTAGTCCAGACTGAATAGAAACAAAGACTTATGTATTTAATGATACTGATTATTGATTGTCCCTAGCAATAGGGAGAGGCCACTAGTTCGTAGGTAAATAAAACAAGGTTTTGTTTGTTTAGCATGCAACAAAATTTAAAATCGTGGAACACGTGGGGTAGATTGAGTGTCACTGGGGATAATTCCAGAGAGAGAGTAGGACCTGAGTTTTATTTACTTAGCAGAATCTGTAAAGTAAGTGCAGCACACGCTCAGAGAATAGGCCACACCTAGAACCCCTGAGACATGGATAACCATATGGTGTGAAGCCATGCTAACTAAGGATGGGACAGAGGGTATGTGTTGGAAAATCGTTGGAGGAGTAAGGTAGACTACGTAGGGAGAGTGGATGTGCATTTTAGAAAGCCTTGACATCTAGGCAGAAGGGGTTAGGTTTGACTAGGGAGTACATGGTGGCTGTATCTCCTCCCCCAGCTCCACCCTACAACAAACACTTCGACACACAGACCTTCTATAACCAAAGGGTTAGAGTTTACCACTTAACCTAGTTTACTCTGTTTTAGTATACTTTGTTGATGTATGCTACATCTATAATTCTATATAAGTCTTGAATGTGTATTCAATTTTTTTTTTAATTGAATGGTAACTATGTACATTAATGCCCTTCTGGGGTACAGTGTGGGGTTTTCACACACAATCCGAAACACTTCCATCAAACTGGTTAACATAGCCTTCATGTCATTTTCTTAGTTATTGTTTTAAAATGTTCACATTCTACTCTTAGAAAGATTCACTTGTACCCTTGTAAGATAAACCTCAGACGTGATCCCTCCAGTCCCTCTCCCTCTACCTATTTCCCCCTCTCCCTACCCCCTCCTCGTATTCGTAGGCTGTTATTAGGTTATAGCTTTCAAATAAAAGGTATAAATTAGTTTCATAATAGGGGTGTGTACATTGGATACTTTTTCTTCCATTGTGATACTTTGCTAAGAAGAACATTTTCCAGCTCCATCTATGTGAACATGAAGGACGTAAAGTCTCCATCTTTCTTTATGGCTGGATAGTATTCCACGGTGTACATATTGTATTCATTTGTTAATTCTAGTAGTTGATTATCATATCTTAGAAACCAGCAATCATTGCACAACTACACCCAGTAAAAACCCTTTACATATACAGCTCCAGTTCCAATCGATAAGATTCAACACACACGGGGAGCTTTATGCGCTGTGACCTATACACTCTTTCCCGGCCTCACTCTCAGAAGGAACCTGTACTTGTTTTAATGCTCTGCTGCCACTCTCTTGAGATTTTAATACATTTTGATTTTCCACTGAGCCCTGGAAATTATGTAGTCAGTACTATCAACTAACACTTAATAATTATCAATTCTAAAGGATAAAGCACAGGTATTTTAGCAGCTCAGTAGGAAGCATTTAAATAAACATAATGGCTAATTAAGAGTAAAGAATTGGAAAGGATAAAATGAACACTATAAACAGTCTTGGAATTGGTAGCACCTGGTTTATATCCCAGTTCTGGCCCACATCCCAAGTATGTGCTTTATCCTAAGATTCAGTTTCTTCATTCATAAAATAAATGTAAAACAGTGCTTAAAAGTATATACAAGAAATGTTCTTTTTTTTTTTTTTTTGAGACAGAGCCCCAAGCTGTCCCCCTGGGTAGAGTGCTGTGGCATCACAGCTCACAGCAACCTCTAACTCCTGGGCTCAAGCGAGTCTCCTGCCTCTGCTACCCAAGTAGCTGGGACCACAGGCGCCCGCCACAACGCCCGGCTATTTTTTGGTTGCAGCCGTCATTTCGGCGGACCTGGGCTGGATTCAAACCCGCCACCTTAGGTGTATGTGGCCGCACCTTAGCCACTTGAGCCACAGGGGCCAAGCCTACAAGAAATGTTCATAACATGACAATTTCTGAGAGCCTCAAACTGGAAACAATTCAAATGTCTGTATATAGTGGAATGGATAAATAGTAATTCATTCATATGGTGGAATATTGTATAGCATTGTTTATATGCCGTACATGGATTACAATTGTAGGCAACATGAGTGAGACTCACAAAAATGCTATTGAAAGAAAGAAGACAGGCAAAAAGGACTATGATTTCATTTATATGAAGTTCAAAAACAGACAAAACTACTCTGTGCTATTAAAACTTAGGATGTTGCCGGGCATGGTGACTCACGCATGCAATCCCAGCAGTTTGGGAGGCCAAGGTGGGCAGATCTCCTGAGCTCATGAGTTTGAAACCAGCCTGAGCTAGAGAGAGACACACACACACCCCCCAAAAAATAGTTGGGCATTGTGGCAGGCACCTGTAGTCCCAGCTACTCGGGAGGCTGAGGCAAGAGAGTTGCTTGAGCCCAAGAGTTTGAAGTTGCTGTGAGCTGTAATACCAGGGCACTGTAGTAGGGGTGACAAAATGAGACTCTGTCTTAAAAAAGAAAAAAAACAAAGAAAAACTTAGGAAATTGAGTATCCTTAGAAGGGGATTATAATAGTGACAAGAAGGGGTCACAAGGGAGCTTCTGGATTTATAGCATCTGGATGTATCCCGTGCTGTGACGTGGGCATATTCATGTTTTAAAATTAAACAAACCACTATAGAACCTCTGTATGTTAATCACCCAAGGGGACTGGTCAACATATGGAGATAGTTTACATAAGAAGTGGGCCTACTGCACTGGTAAGTACATGTGGTACATGTCTGGTCTATGAAAATTAGGTTAACTTAAGGAGGTGGTCAGCTATGGAGATTCTACAATCCTATATCCTTGGGATTTGTATACTTTTCTGTATGTATTTTATACTCCTATAAAATTTACATTAAAAAAAATCTTGCCATATGAATACCATGAAAATTAACGAGACAACTGTGGAATCCTTAGAAAAGCTTCAAGAAATTCACAAAATGCAGGTTTAAATATTTCCATTAAATGGTTTATAGACTGATACAAAATTGGGGCCACAATTTCAACCAGGGCCTTGACTGTCCACTTTTTCCTTTTTAATGTCTTTAAGACTTTGAAAGTCTTTGGTAAAGTTTGGTAAATTTAAAGGTAAATTTTATTTACCTTTGTAAATAGAATTGAGCTTCTCTGGCCTTCATAAGGTTTCTTTTAGTATATCTAGTATTTTTTATTCAATAGGAAAGTGAAATTAATCATGTGCTGACCTTTATAATAAGAAGCTGAACTACAAACCCATTCTCAGTAAGATGTATATCCAGAGACTGTTGCATATTCTTTTACTATCTTGATAACTTTATGCAAGAATGATTATCTAAATTTACTTATTTGAAGACTATTTATAGTGTTCATTTTATCCTTTCCCAGCAGTATTTTTCAATTTTTGCTTTCGTTTGGTCTGGAAAACTTTTTGTTTGTTTACTTCATGTAAGTGTGTGTGTGTGTGTGTGTGT